GTTTGTTTAATTTTCTTTACATTTTATAATATGTTTCTTGGATTCTGCGTGATGATAGATTTGAGACAAATCACCAACAATAGATATATTACAAAACGCGTGGAAAACGAATTAACGTCATGTGACACTTTGCGTAGCCATGGCTTAAACAAATCGATCTCTAACCATTGTTGTTTAAAACATTTTCATGGTATTATTGTATTTGGACTTATATTGTTATTATTTGATAATAACGATGCATTTTCTTTATGACACGCAGAATCCGCATGTCTTATAACGTGCGATAAACCGCACGAAAAATTTTTATTACATGTAATACAATGAAAAAGGCTATCATCAAATGATACTTTGCATATCCAAGATTTAAATCGATCATCATTAAGCCAAGCTTCTGAAAAACTTCGCTTAGGTTTCTTTCTTGATGTATCACACATTTCTATATAGAATTGTCAACAACAAAGATTCTAAGATGAAGAATGAAACAGATAAAAATATAAATAAATTTGAGACTTACAATTGGGATAGTTCCAACTTCCTGAACACCAAGATTTCATACAAGAGCACTGTTTAGAAAAAGTTATTAAAACGAAAAGTAGCAGCGTAAAGAATTCGAGATAAATTTGAATTGATATAATCGATTTATTAATTCTGTGCTTGCGATTTTATATACATATTTTCTTTTCTTTTATCATTGTTACGCTATAATCGCTGTCATTTATCTTTCTAATTTCTTTTTCTATCTATCTCTCTCAGCAGCGCAAAATCAATCAGAACAAGATGTTTTAATATACGGACGGTGTACATCCGTTTATAACTGTATTAAAACGTTTCAAAAACATCATACTTATTGCTTCTCAGATTTATATTCTTGTAAAAATCAAGTAAGTTTGTATTTTTATGTTTAGAGTTTTCTTAATTGATTAACTTAATTATACCAATTTTTCGTAAGATTAATATAAAATCTATGCAAAATAAAAATATACAAATAAGAGCATTTGTGATATGGAGACTACTGAGGTCTACAAAAACTTCGACATTGTCTAGGATTTGGAGCCTTTATAAAACGTGGTGTGAGATGGACGAAATAGATAAAAAATCATTTATAGATCTTGGCAGAAAAAGTATTTCTATGCATACCGCAGAACAAATGGAAAAGAACCAGAATATTCCAGAATATTCTAGAATCGTATAAATAAGTCAGTACAGAATGCAATAGATTATAATAGAATACAATGTGAATAGATTATAAGTTTCTACCCATGATTAACTAAACTATTTATATTAATAAAGCAAAAACAGCTGGTAATTAAAAACTATAATTAACAACTAAAATTTGAGAATGCTGAATTAATACGCTTATCTAAAAGATGCCTTAAAAGTATCTTATTTATGATGATACCATGATACTATCTATTTATTGATTACAAAGCAGCATATAAAAACATAAATAGGAAACAACTGTCCCACATCTTAAGAAAAATAGAAATTGCAGAAAAGTTAGTGAGGTAGTAAAAATAACAATGACAGAGACAAAAAGCAGTAAAGGTTCGAGAGTTTTTGTCAGAACAGCTAAACATCCAGAATAGAGTTCGACAAGGAGACCAGCTGACGTGCCTACTTTTTAATGTCACTTTGAAAAAAGTGATAAGATCCCTGATGTCCGACAATAACTTAAGAAAAATTGACAGAAAAGAATTTGGTTTCACTAATCCGTTTTATATCCAAGAATACCATAACTTATTATTTTATTATGGGCGAACTATGTAGAAATAATTTTACAGATCCACTGTGGTAAAATTCAATAAATTACTATTCACATTATAAATTAATGTAATTATTGTAGTAAAGAGATAATCTTTTCTTAGGCAACCTGGTTGCAATTTGACACGTAAATATAATATTAACATACTTGTTTAATCTTTACAACAATATCGTTTAAAATACATGGTGAAAGAATATGTCAGTAAGCCAAAGGAAAAGCAATTTTCAGAAGAGCTACTAACAATTGTGACGCAGTATTTTCAACCACGCAAACATACTGGGCAGGGAAACCATCTTTTATAAGTCAGTACAAAATGCAATAGATTATAATAGATTATTATATCGCTAATCAAGAACAAGTGACCGAATATCCTCTCCTTCCTCAACAATTTTACCAACAAACTGCCAGTGCTCAAAATTGCAATTTTCCGACGCAAGACTATGACCTAGATCCAACGACAGGTGAGAATTATATGATACTATAATTAATATGATGCTATAACTAATAATACGTGACCTTCAAATGATTATTTAAGGTCACACTTTTGCTATAGCGATTTTTAATTTGCCTCAATTTTAATCTGACATATTTTTTTTTTTAAGTGAAAAAGGGCGCCAAGGGCACGCGCACAAGCGCCTTTCGCTATAAAAATACTCTTATACAAAATAGTGTTATTTCAATTTGTTGTGATTGCAGAGAAGTTAGTGAGGTAGCAAAAATAACAATGACAGAGACAAAAAACAGTAAAGGTTCGAGAGTCTCTGTCAGAACAGCTAAACATCCAGAATAAAGTTCGACAAGAAGACCAGCTGACGTGCCTACTTTTTAATGTCACTTTGAAAAAAGTGATAAGATCCCTGATGTCCAACAATAACTTAAGGAAAATTGACAGAAAATAATTGGTTTCACTAATTCGTTTTATACCTAAGAATACCATAACTTATTATTTAATTATGGGCGAACTATGTAGAAATAATTTTACAGATCCACTGTGGTAACATTCAATAAATTACTATTCACATTATAAATTAATGTAATTATTGTAGTAAAGAGATAATCTTTTCTTAGGCAACCTGGTTGCAATTTGACACGTAAATATAATATTAACATACTTGTTTAATCTTTACAACAATATCGTTTAAAATACATGGTGAAAGAATATGTCAGTAAGCCAAAGGAAAAGCAATTTTCAGAAGAGCTACTAACAATTGTGACGCAGTATTTTCAACCACGCAAACATACTGGGCAGGGAAACCATCTTTTATAAGTCAGTACAAAATGCAATAGATTATAATAGATTATTATATCGCTAATCAAGAACAAGTGACCGAATATCCTCTCCTTCCTCAACAATTTTACCAACAAACTGCCAGTGCTCAAAATTGCAATTTTCCGACGCAAGACTATGACATGGATACAACGACAGGTGAGAATTATATGATACTATAATTAATATGATGCCATAACCAATAATACGTGACCTTCAAATGACTATTTAAGGTCATACTTTTGCTATAGCGATTTTTAATTTGCCTCAATTTTAATCTGACATATTTTTTTAAAAAAAGTGAAAAAGGGCGCCAAGTACACGCGCACAAGCGCCTTTCGCTATAAAAATACTCTTATACAAAATAGTGTTATTTCAATTTGTTGTGATTGCAGAGAAGTTAGTGAGGTAGCAAAAATAACAATGACAGAGACAAAAAACAGTAAAGGTTCGAGATTCTCTGTGAGAACAGCTAAACATTCAGAATAAAGTTTGACAAGGAGACCAGCTGACGTGCCTACTTTTTAATGTCGCTTTGAAAAAAGTGATAAGATCCCTGATGTCCAACAATAACTTAAGGAAAATTGACAGAAAAGAATTGGTTTCACTAATTCGTTTTATACCCAAGAATACCATAACTTATTATTTTATTATGGGCAAATTATGTAGAAATAATTTTACAGATCCACTATGGTAAAATTCAATAAATTACTATTCACATTATAAATTAATGTAATTATTGTAGTAAAGAGATAATCTTTTTTTAGGCGACCTGGTTGCAATTTGACGTAAATATAACATTAACATACTTGTTCAATCTTTACAACAATATCGTTTAAAATACAAGATGAAAGAATATGTCAGTAAGCCAAAGGAAAAGCAGTTTTTAGAAGAGCTACTAACAATTGTGACGCAGTATTTTCAACCACGCAAACATACTGGGCAGGGAAACCATCTTTTATAAGTCAGTACAAAATGCAATAGATTATAATAGAATACAATGTAAATTGATAATAAGTTCCTACCCATGATTAAATAAACTATTTATATTAATAAAGCAAAAACAGCTGGCATTGAATCACCATTAAAGGAAAAGCAGTTTTTGGAAGAGCTACTAACAATTGTGACGCAGTATTTTCAACCACGCAAACATACTGGGCAGAGAAACTATCTTTTATAAGTCAGTATAGATAGTAGCATATGCCGATGACATAGATACAGTGGCAAGATCCAGAAAGGCAATATAAGAAACATTCCTCTTATTCTAGAACAGGCAAGCAGGAACATAGAACTGACTATCAATCAGTCAAAGATTAAATAAAAGAAAGCGTTTCCGAAAACAACACTATCGCTGTCTCATTGTCAGTCGTATCTTTAACGGTATTGACTTTAAATGTGTGAGGCATTCATCAATTCATCATTATATAAATTTGATAAAATTCAGTTCAATTGTATACATTTTTATACAGTTTGAAATATTTGTTATTATCAACATTCAAAACATCAAGAAAAATGAGTGTAAAATGCTCAATCTGCCTGCAATTCTACACATCATCTGACACAGTCTACAATATTAGATGTGGACATATTTTCCATCAAGAGTGCTTAAGACATTGGCTTCAGCAGTAAATTTTTGATAAAAAATTCTATCTTTTCCTAATTCTAATTCTTCTTTCCATGTCTGTAATACAGGGTTTGAGGGTTTGAGGGTTTTATATATATGTATATATGAGTATATATATATGTATATATGAGTGGAATTATACCTCATAACTCCACTCATGAAAGCATGTAGAGAAAGTCATCCATTCACAGTAGAGTACCTTATTTTAAAGCATGCTAATTTTAAAAAAAGAACAACAAATAATCACACCTCTTTATCATTAGCACGCGCTGGTAAACATCATGTAGTATGGATTTGCAAATTTTTTTTCGTTTTGATATACTTTTAAGTTGTAGTTTTTTTATCTTGAGCGTTCTTGACGAAGTGTCCCCAAGCAGGTATCGCGTGTGAATGCTTGGATTGCAAATCTTTACACTATGACAAAACGAAAACAATTAAGACACAATTTCAATTCTTTTGTAGTAGAATGTCTTGCTTTGGCAGATTATTTCAAAAAACGAGGACATTTTGTAATAATATGCTGTTCTTTACAAAAAAGACAGTTTGTCATATTAGTCGCAAAAAAAGAAACCAACGCGCTTGATTTCAAGGTTTGAATGGGAGATTTCGCGACCTTTTCATCCGATTTGACCGAGGTAATCAACGAGCTAGATATTGATGCAAAAACTTTACAATATTCTTGAAATTTAATTAGTTGATCGTATTTATTTTTAAATTATATTTAAATTTAAGTGTTTAAGATGTCTCTAATAATAATTGATCGTTATGCGCAATCGTTAAGTATGTATACGGTATTTTGCTGTTCCAGTACGGGAACCGCAAATTTTAGACATCAGCGATACCAGTGATATATTACGGTCATTGCATCCGTAAAACTCTGATACATTGTCATTTCTCGCCAGAAAGTACAATCGGTCAAAGATATATTTGCACGGGAGATTCGGCTGAAGGAAGTGTATAAATTCTCTTTTGTCAAGAAAAAACAATTTCTATACTGCCTTTCAATATTCGCGACACAAAGCTCGAAAACAAATATATTCAAGAGACGTATTTCGATACGTGAAATAATGTAGTTAATTCCGCAAGCTAACACGACTAAGAAACGAGAACAAATAATTTTGACCCGAGCAGCCCTGTATATGTATCAGAACGTTCTTGTATGAAAAAGTATAAATACGTTTCCGATCGCGAGCTACGCGCGAGACCGTCAACGGCAACAAATAAACGTATGGCTCAACAAATCGAAAATTTTGGAATTTGCTTCCAAATACAATGGAATAAGCGTTACCAAAATATAGAGTCAATATTCTACTTTTATTAATGCAAAATAGTAGTAATATTACGAATAGCAATGCAAAAACAAAATAAGCAATAAACAGCGGACTAAATGTGCGCCAGTAAAGGCAGCATCGAGTAAGTTTAACTGATAAATTATAATTCACAATTAATAGAAATGTCTGCGTAAAATATGCATATTGATTTATTATAAACGCTATTGATAATGTTAATAAGATTTGCAATTGGTGCGAACCAAATGTTGCATCCAGCGAAAACTATCGACACGAAAATCAAACTATATAAAAAGCATAAAAAGAAGCAAAAAAAGTAATGTCTACCAACGAAAGGTCGGTAGTAAATCTTACTAACATTATTGAAAAATCGAATTTTATTTAATAATCCGGCTTGAAGGGCTAATGAAAAGAAGGGTGTTAATCAATTTTCCTTCGAAGCGATACAATGAAAATATAAAAAAAGGACCGTAAATATTTGATTAAATTGCGACTCATCACACGATACATACCTCCTAATTCATCTGGTGCAAGTCTTGCCAGTGTTGTAACATGATCAAACTTCTATCAAGCAAGGCAAAGCACATCAAGCAAGGCAAGGCACGTCAAGCAAACTAAATAGATATATAACTAGTAAATATATAAATATATAAATAGTAAATCAGATGCGTTTAAATAGAATTTTTTATCAAAAACTTATTGGTGAAGCCAATGTTTTAAACACTAATGATGAAATTGTACAAAAATAAACAAGAGTCGATAGATTTAGAATATAAAGAGCTTTGATGTAAAACATTTGTCCTGACATTAAAATATATTCTTTTAACAGTATGTAATTCATTTTATATATAGGTGCCCTATTATTATACTACAATATTTATTTATCTTTTATTATATTGCAAAGTGTGTGAGCTCTGGTGTTAACCAGCGATTGTACGCAATTTTTTATGAAAGTACGATTGTTTGATAATTTAAATTCAACGGCTGAGTTTACCTTGTCAGCAGACTTGATGGTGAAGCGGTCAAGACTCTTAAATCAGAACTCCAGAGAAGTGCGCAATGTCCACAAAGTATATTTTAATAAAGTCAAAAAATTATAAAAATAAATGTTCAAAACACGCGACGAAATTTTAATGGTACCGTAGCCACGATTCGCACGGATGGAGATCAAGCTTTCAGCATGATAACGATACGTTCAAGAACTAGACAAGCGTTTGAAAGAAAAATTAGCAGTCACCGTCGCGATTTCATACACTATTGAGAGCGCACGCACCGAATGCATCGTACTCGCACAATAGAAAATCCACGATTAAAAACTGCTCACGTGCATTTTGATATCGAGCGGGTATCAATTATAATATTACTTAGCGCACCGCGAAATCAAGACTGTTTCCTAGCCGAGTATCAACCGCGATATGAGAACGCCGAATTCTAACTTCGGCACGACGATTCCCAAAAAAAGGGCTGCGCAAATACCAATAATGGTACGACAACACGTCGAGCACGTGATTGATACGTGCGAGCGCGAACGGTAACGATACATGGTAAACACGAAGTCGTGCGACGGCTATATTATATTAATATTAATATGATGTCGATGAATTTTTCCCTGCTGTTATAAAGTGGAAAAAATGTTTGTTACGTTTACATTTTATTACATGTATAATAAGAAAAATATTTTGAAGACATAATGCTTGAGAAGAATGGTGGAATTTAATTGATACCATAAGCCTATCTTCTCAGGTAGATATTTGAATTTTTAGTCGCGCCACCCTTGTTGCCAAAAGAAAGGCACAATCATTGGCCTTACAAATAAAACCTTTCTACTTTCGCATCCTATGTGAATTTCTCGAAAAATATGAATGATAGTTAATTGATATATATATTTTAAAAAAATTATTTATGATTTTTTATATAAACATTATACAATATAAGATAAATCGTAGAAAATTTTTGCATAAATGTTTTCATTATATTCATTATCATTATCTTGTTTAATTAATTGTGTTTTTTATCAAAGACAATATAGAATAATTATTTTAATAATACAATGCTTGAATCTTTTCAATCGGAATTTTTTATTCTAAACCAAATTTTTTTTAATCGATAAGACTAAATAAATTTAAATATAGCAAAAAAGGTTTATAAAAGAATATTTACATGTTATTATGTCATTGTTGATGTAATAAAATTTTAATATTAGTAATAAGCAGGTACAAAATATTCCCTTCCATTCTCATCATATAATGCTAGGTTAAAAGGATTAATAACAATCGATGCGGCTAAGAATTTTTCATTCCGCCCATATAATCGCGGATATGCAGAGCGGTAATTCCGGTTGTTTGAGGTAGCAAAGGGAGAGTAGGTGCGTTCGTGACACGCCAACTAACCATTATGCAGATTTTCAACGATTAGATATATCGGACGTTTTGCCGACGAACCGAATGTAACGTGCTTTTGTGAAAGGAATGAACGGGACGAAAGGCGAAATTCTCTCCTCTCGTCCACCTTTCATCCCGCCTTAATTCGTTATCTTGACTAACGACCTTTTCTCCGTTCCTCCTTCTCTCGGAAGTGCGGGGAAAAAAAAAAAGAGTGAAACGGAAAGCGGGCAGAAAACGGATTTTCCACCGTTGCCAAGGCACGAGGAAAGGCGAAGCATCGCACGTTGAATAAGTTCGCCGGATTTCTGAGGGTCAAAGGAGAGTTGCTTAAGAGGCTGTTCAGGGCAACTATGTACACACGCAATGACACGGGTCGTTGTTCCGCAAACGCGTTGATGAGAATTTTTTCCTCTTAGTCCCTAGTGGTACGCTCTGCAACGATTTCGATAAAGAGAGATAAAAAAATAAAGAATCGAGTAAACCCTTATTTGAACTTAATTCAAAGATATAAAAATTCCTTATTAATTTACCTTTTGATTGCAATGTAAAAATCAAAATATGTTTTTGTATATATATATATATATCTTCGTGACGAAGGCTTGTAATCGCGCGGGCATAAACACAACTGAGACAATGCAAGGGCTACTGACACTTTCGATCATGTCCATCCTTCGCAAAGTAACTTCCCGGACCCTCGCATATCGACGCGAATTCACGCGAAACTTACGCGTCGCGGCAGAAATATGAAAGCGCCGGCTTTTGTGTGCATATTTTCGGCTTCAAACTATGAATGTACATATGTACAATGTATCGCTTCAGCTCGCGGCAGCAATCGCGCGAAAATGTTCTAACATTTTACAAAGTGACAGTCGCGTTTTGTCGCGACCGACCCTGACTATCGCGACGACATGGAATGACAAAAGCGGACGGTAATAAAAATCGGCTTCAGCGCGCGTATCTGCGTGTACACGCAACCCTCTGTCACGGCCGTGTCGGCCGCAACGATCTCGCCCTTCATTCAAGAATGACGACGATAGCCGCTTTTATCCGTTACCGCCGATCGGCGGATTATCAGATCGCGCTCGATAAAAGGCTCCCGCCGCACCGCGTATACACGTATATCCGCGGTACATTTGTTCTTTCGCGTAATGGAATTATCGTACGTACTGTTGGCACGCGATACTTCGATTATGCCGAATGCGCCCTTTTGCGACCATCCGCTCACGCGTGTAATTCGAGTTTAATCGCAGCTGCGGAATTACACTATACACTCGCAACAGAGCACGAAAAAAAATTGATTTTGGCATTTAAAAATCAAAATTCATGTTGTTGACTATAATATAATTATATACAAGAATTTTATAATCATCAAGAGACTTTATATGAAAGACTAAAGATTAGGGGATAAAAGCTTTAACATTTTTAAAAGGTAGAAAAATAGAATATAAAATTCATTATATAATATACATATATTTATTATATTTATATTGTTACCATATATTAATTTCAACATATCATATTAATTTCATAATTTAAACGACATTTTTCATCTCGAGGGTTAATATACTGTGCAATTAAAGAAACGCAAGTCTCTTATGAACGATTATACATAATATGTTCTAACGCTTTTATTCAAAGTAAAATTTCTGTCTAGAGAAAGAAAAGCATTTTTAAAACTTTGACACTATGAAATGCCATTGATGCTTCTTGAAGATGGGGGAATTCATTTTTAATAAAAAGTGGACTTATTATTATTGAATTGAATTATATGAAGATAATAGATTTATATATGTTACAAAGTTTTATTTCGTGTGAATGGTTTTCAAAATTAATATTTTTAATAATTGTATCTTAACCATTTTACTTTTGTAATATATGTATATTGCTTTTTCTACTTTCCGCAAAAATTAGTTCGTCAAAGATTTTTGTTTGAAAAATAAATTTCTTGATTATTGTATCACTGCAATACGTACACTATCACTATTGTGATGATGCACTTGTATCAACATCTTAAGATAGTAAATTATTATAGAATTGAAGTTTTAGAATTTTAAACTTCACAAATAAAATTTTTGTAAAATAATCTATCAGAGAGTAATATCCAATTTAAATTACGATGATCAAGAGTGAAAAAATCTTGAGATGGATTACACGATTACAGGTGTCACTCTAAACCAGAGTGAGAAATGACGAAATTAAAGCAGAAATGTTAAGTACAGGATGTACGCTAAGTAAAAGAAAGAAAACGCGAATGGAATGCCCATGGATAAAATGAGTGAGGGACTTTTAGCAAAAATAGTAAAAAGCAAAAAACCAGAGGATACCTACATAATCCCTTTTTTTTATTTCAGATATTCAAATGTTCATACTGTGGAAACATGCTTATAGAAAAAAGGAACAAAATTCGCCATGAAAAGAGCGTGCACAAGGGAACAACTCAAATGCAATGTGATATTTGCGACAAAATATATTCACGGAGTGATTCCCTTAAAACAAAGAGAATAAAAAAGATAAAATAATCAGTTAAAGGAAATAATATAAAATATATCTATAATTGGAGGGAAAAGATTGATAGGGATATTAACGTTGCGGAAAATCTTTCAGCGAACAGAAAACAATGGCAAATCTGTTGTGATTCCATTGAGTCATCCCGTTAGTCATGATTAAGCAAATTTCATACTCAAGCTATTAATTATTATAGCATGTAACCGCAATGTCCACAAAATTCCCCTGGGTAGTATAAAATGCATGCACTGACCCTCACAAACGCCACATCATCGGCGAACTTGCCGAACTTGATTAAAATTGTATTTTACTAGACTTCAGCTATTTATCATTGAGAGCAAATAATTGAAGGCAAACGAAAAAATACTATCTGTCTCAAGAAATAGAGAGTTACGACATAGATAGATGGAGAGCTCTTTGTGTTACAAAGTATATTTTATATACGTATTTTCCTGCAACTTTATGTACCTGCAATGTGCAATATTATATTAATTTTATTTTCTTTAATCAATTAATTCCTTTTGTTTATTTTTTTATATTATTTATTTTTATTTTTTATTACTGAAGAGGAAGACGGCGAGGAAGATGGTTGCTAGAGGCAAATGCTCTACCTAAAAGGCTGTTTGGTGGGCATCTTCGTCGGCTGCTCCAGCATCGGCATATCTGGCCCCGGGAGTAGAAATTGTTAAATCTGAAAAAAAATTAGAAAAAATATTTAATTTAATAAAATTCACGCGCGATTACGATATATAGAACGCGATATATGAAAGTAAATCGATACAAATCACGACAAATTAATAATTTTCTTCGATATTAAGAGCACCTGTGGTGGTGCGTGACTCGCGAAACCGAAATAATGGCGCAGTTTTATCTGTTCTCGAATGTTCGCTTATATGCGCATATATCTTCTGATACGTTTTTTGCAATGGCTACGCACTTCTACACGTTCTCGAATGTTCGTTCGTGTGCAAATTGATGAGAAAGAATGTAGGACTATAGTATCTCTGCTTGTGACGCATAAATCCGTAATACACGAGTCTCGAAATCGAAGTAATGTCGACGAATTCGAACGATATACAGTAATGTCGGTGTGTCGACGTTACTTTAATTTCGAGATTCACATATTACGGATTTACACATTACAGGCAGAGATTATATAGTCCTAGATTCACTTATCGTAATATATCGATTTATTCCGATACACTTACCTGTTCTTGTAGAACTTCGTCTCACTTTTCCGCGACACGACACAACACTTATCACTTATACGATTCGATACGTTATAGAACATGGAAGAAAGACGAAAGTGTATCGACGAAAGGATATGCGCAAGTAGTGGGGTGATTTTGTGATCACGTTACCAATACAAAAAAAGACATAGTCGAACAGTAGCGTCATGGTTTATAATTTGTACCATTTACGCTTATCTATGTATTCTTGTCTTATTTAAGATTGTCCTAAGTACGGTCCTGAGATACTAAATCACTGAATTAGTCAAATGGAATTGTAAAGACCACTTCGCCCAAACTCCGATTAATTTAATCATTAATCAACTTACGAACGATTAACATAAAAATGTCTAATAATATATTTCTTGTATATATAATAAAAATTTTTAAATTTTGCTTTTATTCGCTTTGTAAGTTAATCAACGATTAAACTAACCGGAGTTTAGTTGAAGTAGTCCTAAATCCATAAGAGAGATTTAAAAAGAGACCACACTTAAGATGATAAAAATATTCCGAAGTCCTTAATCAATAAAAAAAAAATGTTTAAAGTTTATTTTTCAACTTTTGTTTATACGTTATCATTTTCTACAGAGATGTCAAGAAATATATATAAATTTTTGTAGATTTTTCCAAGTATTCTTGACTTATTTAAGATTGTCCTAAGTACGGTCCTGAGATACTAAATCACTGAATTAGTCAAATGGAATTGTAAAG